TAATGCATTTATAAGATTATCTCTTTGTTGCTTTGTATGTCCCTCCCCCACAGTATAACCCCTGCTTTCACTATATTTGATGTCAGTATAACTTGTGGAGATGGGGCAAAACAAGTCGTTTAAGGATACAGGTGGACCTGTTGCAACAATGAGTACAAGTTGTCATGTCGAAAACGAGCTATTCTTACTTTCTTTCCTTTCCTTTTCACTTTTCCTTTCCTTTCCTTTCTTTTCCTTTCCATTCCTTTCCTGTCCTTCCCTGTCCTGTCCTGTCCTTTCCTGTCCTTTGCTGTCGTTTCTTTCTTTTTCTGTTTTTTTTTTTTTTGGTTGTGGGGCTTGTACTCTGGGTCTGGGCACTGTTCCACAGCCCTTCAGTTCAAGGCAAACACACTTGAGCCACAGTGCCACTTCTGGTTTCTGGTGATTTATTGGAGATAAGAGGCTCAAGGGCTTTCCTGCCCAGGCTGGCTTTGAACTACAATCCTCATATCTCATCCTCCTGAATAGCTAGGATTGCAGTTTTGAATCACTAGAGCATAGAAGGAAATGAAATCTTAACCCAAGTAATGCATTTTCCTTTTTTGGTATTGTAATATTGTTTTGCATCTGATTTGCTAGTCAAGAAATTATTTCAGTTGTTTGTTGCTGTGTAAGATCATGAACAACTTGTGATGTTTCATACAATTTCCAGCTTTTGATAGTTTCCTGCAAAGAAATTAATGAAGTTTGGTATTTTTTTTAAAAGTTCATTTTCCCGTATTGGTAGAAACAACTTACAATCACATTTAAGTGAGTTTTAATGCCATCACTTAGGTGGACTGTTTCTGAGAGTTGGTGAAAAGTGACCATCTTTGACAGTCAGCTATCCTAATCCATCATTATGATCATTATGATTGTGTGTTGAAGCTCAAATCCCTATTCTTTCTATGGTTTCCTGCAGAGTTCATCATTAGGTCATCCTTTCATTAGATTTGGTGAACTGGAGAGAGTTGTATAATTCTTGACATAAGCAGGCTGACATGTGATCAGAAGTGAGGCCTGGAGAATTCCTCTGGAGAGGCAGTTGGGTCAGGTGAGAGCATCAGCTGCACACCATGGCTTTTTCCACAGGGTGGAGAATCACAGGATTATGTGCACAAAATCCTAGGACAGCCTCACTGAACCAGAGAATGCCACACTCCTCCTTCCAACATCTCTGATGACCTAGGAGTTAAGAACCTAATGATTATACTCATTTCCTATATTAAAACAATTCCTTCTTAGAGATTCTTGTCTGGCTTCTGTTTCACTGTGTGAATCAGAAAATGTAAAGTTATATGGGAAGAGGCATGGCCATATTTGTGCTTCTGGGATATAGGAGGAGAAAAGGGACAACGATTAAGAGGAGTCTTCACATTTAAATAATAACCTTTGAAAGTGTTCATAGTGATGCTACATCTGAGAAGCTCTATCAGCAGGTGGAGGCACCAGGAGGAGCAGCTGAGCAGCCCAGCCTCTCACTTCTGCTTCCCTGGGAGGTTTTTGTTATGGCTTATATCACTGTGGGAGGGAAACTATTATCCTGTTGACAGTAATAAGTGGAATTCCTGAGACTAAATTCTTTCAAAATTGATAAGAAGCTTTGGAGCATTCCCTGGTTTCTTCTGATACCAGTGTAAATCATTGCTATGCCAAGAATGGCAAGGCAAGTGATGGAGACTCTGTCTCCTGGAGATGCAGACAGGAAGGATGGAGAATGGGTTATCTGGATGTCACATATGAAACCTCCCACTGGAAACAAACACAAATGTCCACACTGCTTGTCATGTTTTAGGAGGCCTTCCCTGAAGACCCAGGAAGCACTGAACAGAGGATGGGAGGAATGCTGTCCTTCCTTACCTGGGAGCCAGAGAAGCAGGAGCCCCAGGAGCTGAGCAGGGGTCATCTTATCCATGCTGTGTGCTGACTGGGACCGACTGCTGCACAGGGTGTGAGCAGCCTATTATGAAGTCATTGGGGCAGCAGGCAGTGCTCTGAGCATATGCAAATCAGCAAAGGTGGGTAAAGCTGGGAATAGCTATAGGACCAGCCCAACTCAGGAAATCCTCATATTTCATCTGTGCCCACATACCTTAGTTTAGCCCAGAGAGTGTTTTTCACCCATACAGCAGAAGCTGTGGTGAGTCTATTGTCCTTTGAATAGATCTATTGGTGCATTCAGGGATGATGACCATTTCTCTTGGTTTTTTCAATCTTTATGTCATGACACTGAAAGGGAGAAGAGTAAAGTAATAATTGACTGCTTCATATTCAGAACATGCAGAGAAGTGAAAATATGGAAATAATAGAATTTGTGGATATTTTTAACTTGTTTAATATCTCTATGCACTTAATATCTCATTGACAAAGCAAGAGAAATATAAGTTGTTAAGTTTTCAAGCAATTCGTGCTTCAGGCTCTTCTAAAACACACATATACACAAAGTAAAATGTGATTCTTCCCAAGCAGGTATAAAGGCTGAGTCCAAGTCTTCCTTATTGACTTTACTGCATAAAGGAAAATTTTACTACATAGGAAAATTTTCAAAGCATAGAAAACAACTATATCAAGGGTTTTTGGTACGCATGTCTTGTGGTTAGATGGCTGGAGGGCTGAAGCAAAAGCATGTTGCTACCAGAAAAGCCAAAAATTGTTGTTTTTGTGATTTGTTTTGTGATTTGCCACCAGGTACAATTTTTACTTAGACTTACAGTTTTAAGTTTAACCATATTAACAAAGGATCTTTGCTTGCTTTAGCCTTTCGTAAATATTTTAGTTTAAATGAACATACATATTTTTAGTATTCTTCTGTTACCACATAGCTTTTTCCTGTACCATATTTCAAGTTCAGAAGCCTTCCATTGACAAAGAAATAACTTTAATTCTTCCCTATATTTGTCAGGTGGTTTAAATTTAGAAGTAATCTAATAGTATCTGTTCAAAGTGAAGTTATAAAAAAGAAAATTTTTAATAATACATTTAATGGAAAAGTATTTACCAATAAATGGAAATATTAAGGTAGTTGCCAGTACTCAGTTTTGTAAAATCTATGAAAAAGTTATTTTTCTAGGGTCCATTCCATTATTTTCTCTTTCTTTTCCCTCATTCTTTCTTGCTTTTTTGTTCCTTTCTTTCTGTTTTGTTTCTTTCCTTTTTGATATGATATTTCTCTGATTTCAAGGCTATCATTGATCATGTGATTTTCTCTGTAAGTATTCATCCTGCAATATTAGAGGGACTCATGAAATAATAAAAAGAAGCTGAGAGTTGCTGAGAGAAGGTGGTGAGCATGAGAACAGAAAGTATGATAGAAAGAGGACATGGCCTCTGTACGGTGAGGATATACTATATTTATTCTGATTGAATTGAGAATCTAGATTCCAGAATGATACGAACATAGTCATACTTGAATAACATGATGTAGGAATAATGTCTCACATTTCTTAGGTCTCTGAGCAAGTACGGTGGCCTTTTAATGTAAACTCAAAATTCAAATTAATATAGGAATATCAGCCTCCATATGGAAGACTGATAGATTTTTGTCTATTCAGAGACTTTTATTTTTGAAATGTTTCCAGCTACTAGTGTAGTTAAGTAATTAAATTAATATCAATATATTTTGAACTCTTGACATTGGAAACAGATGTTCTATCATTTGAGTCACATCTTCCACCATATATGTTTAAGTTATTTTTCAGTCATTGGGTCTCACACAATTTTCCAGCCCAGTCTCACTCTACACACCTGTTCTTATGCTTCTCCCATATATTAGAATCCAGGCATGTGCCATCATGTCTTGTTTTCCAGAAATATATCTTGTGACTTTTCTGGGATGTCCTGAAACTCTGGTCCTCCTAATTTTGTCCTCCACATAGTTGAAATTGTGATTGCAGGTAAGATCAATCACACTAAGAGTAAGTATTTCTGAAAATTCAGAATTGTTTTCTTTGCAAGGGCCTTGCTCATCTAGAAAAAAGTGCAAAGTATGAAATTCCTATGTGGTTCTCAGGAAGGAAAACACCAATTGATCCATCTGATTTTGTTGTATATACACACACACACACACACACACACACTCAAATTGTTGAATTTTCTTTCTGATAGTTTGACCACTTTATACAAACAAATTTAAAGAGTTTATTGAAGTATTCAGTGGAAGAGAAACTCCTGAGACAGTGAACCTCAGTGAGCAGCTGTCTGAAGAATATTTTGTTTGAGCTAGAGCACTATGAGAGGAAACTTGTTATTCTCCTGACCATAGCAATTTGCAGCATCTTCAGCCTCCACTGGATTTATGGTGAAGTTGAAATCTGTCTCAGACCCACTGCCATTGAACGGGTTTGGGACCCCACTTTCCCTATTGGATCCTGTATAGCTCAGAGGTTTTGGAGGCTGTCCTGGTTTCTGTTGATACCAACATATGAAACTCTCTAAAATTCATTATCAGCATTCTCACTGGCTCTGCAGATGATGATGGCCATATCTTGAGGAGACAGGGCCAGAGATGCAGGAGTTGGAGTCAGAACAATGTCTCCAGTGGAGCCTGGAATGGGAATCCTATGTCAAGAATGGCCACAGATGTACTGAGACCATCCCAATGTAGGCATATTGCATTAGTGACAGCTATAACTTGTCAGGGAAGACACTTTAATAATAGAAAATTGAGCAAAAAGACTTGAATCAATCATTTTGAGAAACCTGCAAATCAAACAGCCTCAATGGCCGTGATGATTCTGACTAACCTTTTCTGCCAACCTCACCTGGAGCCCAGAGCAGAAGAGCCACACCAAGGAAGCCTTTGATCCCATGTCCAACATCGAGGTTTGACAGTGCTTTTCAAGTCTCAGAACCTGCCTCTAAAGAAGTTTTGAGCAACCTGCACTGTTACGCAATGATACAATGTGCAAATTAATTTGGAAGGGCTTGCTTTTATGTTTAAAGGAGACACAGTTTTTCTTTCACTCAGTGGGAGTTGTGACTAGACAAGACAAAATAGTCTTGAATATTTTCTAGTGTAACTGGAGTATTTCCAGTAATTTGTGAATTTCTCTGTTGAAATTGTATTTCTACTTGAGATGCCATATGGGAGAACATGCCATGGTTGCCCTTCCACACATATGTCACTCAGATATGCTTTTTATTCCCCAAATTGAAGTTGTCACAACATATCAAACAGCAGTACATTCCAAAAGGAAGTCAATAGAGTTAATAGAGGAGTGAAATCACTCAGCTGGATGGCAGGGACGGGGAATTGTCTTTCTGAATACATCTTCTGGACAGCATATCTGCAAATGCCATCCAGAGCAGGAAAGGTCGGGAGGTGCAAGTGTGCTACAGTAGTCAGTGAGCTGGTGATACCAATGAACAAGGAAGCCTTTATGGGTTGCCACGTTACTCACATAGTTAGACTAGCCTGGGTTACATAGTGAGACAGGTAAGTTTCCAGTCTGCATGAACTTACATTACCTTCCTGTGGGTAAAGACTTTCCTGTCTGTTTAATTTGGAAACAAGATCTATTTAGCCCCTAGTTTTCCAATGATAGTGGAATGATTGCTGTGGGTCCTAATTTGAGTAAGAAAAAATCAGATCTGTTCTTTTACTCAGATCTTTGTCCTTACCAATGGAAGCAGTAGCTGAGAAACCCCAAGTTCTCCTGTAGAATGAGAAGATGATACAAACACATTGGATAGTGTTATGTAATCAAGGAGATTTATTTTAGACCAGGGAGTTAATGAAAAGTTATATCTAGAAATATTTGGCAGTTAAAGGATACAACAAATTCACCAAGAATCAACTATTTATTATACTTGTGAGCAATAGTATTTGTCTGTTTAATGGGAAATATTTCATTCAACTACAAAAGTTATGGAGTATTTCATTGTCAGGTGTTGATGACTCTAGAGTGAATGCATTTCTAGCTATTCATGAGGCTGCAATCTGAGGAGTTATGTTTGAAGCCAGACTCAGCAGGAAAGTGAGATTCTTATCTCCAATAAACTGCCAAAAGCCACAAGTTGAGCTGTAAATGCCAAGGATGAATGCTAGCTTTAGCATAAAACATAGGGACAGAACATAGACTCTTGATTATAGCCATTCAAACTGCGGTGAGATGCAATCTCAGTGATGTCTTGATTTGCATTTCTTTTATGGCAAGAGAAGTTGATAATTTCTTCATGAGTCTAAAGACCATTCTTATGTCATCTTCAGAGAAGTCTCTCTTTAAGTCTTTAGTCCTTTTATTAATTGCACAGTTGTTTCTTGAGGATTTGTAGTCGGGAGATTAAATTTTTTGAGTTCCCGGTATATTTTAGATATGAGACCCTTGTCCGTGGTATGGCTAGTGAAGATCTTCTCCCAATCTTGTGGGTTTCTATTGATCTTGCTAGCATTGTCGTTTGCCATGAAGAAGATCTACAACTTCATGCAATCCCATTTGTCCCATCCTTTGATTTCTTATTTTTCTGGGTCTATATTCAGAAAATTTCAGACTGTGCCAAGGAGACTGAGGGTTTCTCCTATTCCTTCCTGTAATGTTTTCAGAGTGTCTTCTTTGACTCCGACGTCTTTGATCCAATTGGAGTTGACTCTGGTACAGGGTGACTCTTATTGAAGATTAGATGGCTATAGGTCTGTAAGTTCAATTCTGGGTGTTCAATTCTATTTCCTCGGTCCTGAGGTCTCTTCTTGTGCCAGTAACCAAGCTGTTTTGGTTATTATGGCTTTGTAGTAGAGTTTGAAATTTGATATTTATATTCCTCCAACACTGTTCTTTCTGTTAAGGATCATTTTTGGTATTCTGGGTCATGGCTATAATCAAGAACTCTAATGACAACATATGCTGGAGGGGATAGGTCCAGAATGGAACCCTACTACAGTGTTGGTGGGAGTGTAAGCTTGTTCAACCACTTTGGACAGTAGTATGGAGGTTTCTCAAAAGACTCCTCATAGAGCTCCTCAATGACCCAGCAATCGCATGTTTGGGTATTTACCCAAATGATCACCAATAAGACCATACTAAAGCTACCAGCACAACTATATTTATTGCAGCATTATTTACCATAGCTAAGATATGGAACCAACCCAAATACCCCTCAGTAGATGAATGGATCCAGAAAATGTGGTATATATACACAGTGGAATTCTATGCCTCCATCAGAAAGAATGACATTGCCCAATTTGTTATGAAATGGAAAGATTTGGAAAATATTACATGAAATGAAGTAAGCCCGGCCCAAAGAAACATAGGTCCCATGTTTTCCCTTATTTGCAATAACTAGTATATTTTTGAGACAAGCAGAAAAGGTCAGATAAGTTGATGTTAGGTAAAATGAACCTCAAGATAATTATTCAAATGATTTTGCTTTTATGCAATTGTATCTAACATATTTATAAGATGATTTCTTTGTTGCTTTGTATGTCCCTCCCTCACGGTGTAACCCTTGTTTCACTGTATTTGATGTTGGTATAATTTGTGGAGGAGAAGGGAAAAAACAACTCATTTAAATAGAGATACAAGTGGATCCATTGTAACAATGAGATATACAAATCATTATGTCTAAAAATGAACTTTACAACTTTGGTGGGGGGGTAATAGAGAGGAGTGGGGTCAAGGGGGGAGATGGGAAGGGATAGGAAGGGGAAATAAAGGAGGAGGAAACAATGCTTGATAAGACATGTACTCATTATCTTGCCCATGTAATTGTAACCCCGCTGTACAGTATTTTCACAATAAAAAAATTACAATGAAAAAAAATAAGATCAGGTATGCCATGGGAAAAATTAGAACAAATACCCAAACATCCAAACAATTATAAAATATTATTTGAAGAATCTATACTCACTAAGGAAAGAAAACCTAGCAGAATTGGATGAATATTTAGACAAATACAAATTGACCAAACTGAACCAAGAAGAAATAAATCAATTAAACATGCCAACATCTTACAATCAGATAGAGGAAGCAATCAGAAATCTTCCAACAAGGAACAGCCCAGGACCAAACGGATTCACTTTGAAATTTTATAAGACCTTTAAAGAGGAACTAATACCCATACAACTCAGATTCTTCCAAGAAATAGAAACAGAGGGAGCTATCCCAATCTCATCTACAAACCAGGCAAAATCCCAAAATAAAAAGAGAACTACAGACCAATTTACCTGATGCACACAGATGAGTAAGACCTCATGGACTTTCCTGCCTGGGCTGGTTTCAAATGTTGATCCTTGCATCTCAGCTTACTGAGTAACTAGGATTACAAGTTTGAGGCACAGGTGCCCAGCCATTTAATTTCTTTAAGTGAAAAGATAATACAAAACATACTGAATATGTTGAAAACTATTTTATAGTAGTTTGATGATGATTATTATGATATAATTGAAGCATATTTTGCAGATATATGTTTACTCCAATTTCTTGATAATGACTCATAAATATGACACTATTGAAACATTAGGTATCTTCTATCCCCAGTATTTTTCCTGTACTGAGACCTCTCATGTTTTGCCACCTTTGGGCCTTTGATATTACTTCTCAAAGGTCATCAGCATGAAGTGATAAGTGTTGATGCTGGACATGATTACTTCAACAAAAATCACATGCCTCTCTCTTTATCGTTTTCCAGAGAGTGGAAATATCATACCTTAACAGATACCTAATATATACAGTTGCTTCTCTATGAGAAAAAGGGACAAAAAAAGAGAGAAAAATATAGACACACACACACACACACACACACACACACACAGAGGGAGAGAGAGGGAGAGAGAGAGAGAGAGAGTCTTGATTTCTTCTCAAGCCAGTAAAATGACCCATTGCAACAATGATATATACAAGACATCATGTTGAAAAAGAAACTTTACATCTTTGGCCAAAAGGGAGGGGAGGAGGGGGGAAGAAGAGAAGATGGGAAAGGATGGGAAAGGGAAACAAAGGAGGAGCCTACAATGCTTGATAAAAAATGTACTCATTAACTTACCCATGTAATTGTAACTCCTCTGTACAGTATTTTCACAATTAAAGAAAAAAATAAAAATGAACTTTACAACTTTGGCGGAGATGGGGGGAGGAGGAGGAAAAGGGGGAAAATGGGAAGGGATGGAAGGGGAAACAAAGGAAAAGGCAACAATGCTTGATAATAAATATACGCATTACTATACTCATGTAATTGTAATCCCTCTGTATGGTATTTTCACAATAAAAACTTAATAATAACTAAAAAGGAAAATGAGTTCTGTTAATTTTAAGACCAATGACTTTCATCCATTGGAATATGGAATCCAATTGAAACAGGACTAAGGACAGGATGCATAGTCCCAGGGTACTGTGTTCTGGTCTCCTCCCTGTGGAGGATGCAAGTACTCTATTCAAGAAAGATTCAGAGCTCTGGGAAATCCATGTGACCTGTGGGTTTAGAGCCAGTGAATGTAGAACTTGTCTCAGGACCTAATTCTTTTCTAATACCTTAATGGTCTTGTACATTCATAAGAGCTTTCTAGAGAGAGACTCTTTGTAATCCCAGTGATATTTGTAAACATCTATTGACTGAACAGTTCATAAAAAAATTAGGACTGATGTAGAAACCTCTCTTTTAGGTTTAGCTGGATCTCAACTTATACCTATTTACAATTGGTGGAGCTCACAGTGGTGCCTTGTTTATGATCATGGAAGAAAGGGAAATCTTGAACCCTTCCTAACCCAAGTTCATCCTGGATGTTAAGTTTCAGTGAATATTTGTGAAAAGATCCAAACTCATTCTTCCATATTATGAGAATACAAAGTCTGAAGTTGAAAGTGCATTGCCAGCCCAATTAAGATACAAGAATGATACCTATCTGAAAAATAAAAATGGATGATGAATGGCTCCTGTGTAGGAGTCAGGAAGCTTCAACAAAATAAATATATTCTCCACTTTGTCACTCAATGTATTAAACATGTCGCATCCTGTTATTGCAAAAATCTTTATAGATTTAAATGGATTTTTTGACTGCTACTCTTTTTGAATTTGCATTGAAAGCATATAGATTAAAAGAATATTGACATAAAATAGACCACATTTTATAAGCTTTACAATTATATGAATTACATTTTTAAAAATTCTAAAACCTTTTAAAGGTGAATGAGGGCTGTGGAATGACATTTTTCCTCACAAAGGTTTGTACCTTTGATTCTGCTATATTGAGCCATGGGAGAAGGCACCAAATTAGTCCTCTCTGCTTCTGAAGTACTCCGAACCCAAGTTCAACACTGCTGATGTGTTACTGGTCCTGTTTCCTTCTCCCTCCAGGTCTTTGGCTCTGTAAAGATGCCAATAGAAAGCCATTGTGTCAGAACTTATCTTTATCTTCTTTTCTGAGGCCATCATTAATTACAAACAAATTGGAATGAGAATTGTGCTACGAGGTGAGTCCTCTTAATTCCTACTTTTATATTCACAATTCTGAGCACACACTTCAGAGCCTGCATGAGCTTCTTGAAATACTAACTCTCAAAAAGAATGCTCACTTTTCTGATATTATCTCATTTCTCCTTGTCTTTAGATAATCTTGCTCTTGTATTTTTATGTTTGTCCTGAGGAACAGAAGTATACACCTTTTCTAACAAATCAAAATTAATTTGAAGAGGACAGATTTGCCAAAAGAATTGGAGGTTTTATTATCCATGTAGTTGTTTCCTGAGTCAGGTCAACACCAGCTGGTATATTGACATCAACCAAAACTAGGAAATCCCCTAAGCTTGTGATCCAAGCTAGCTTGAACGAGGCAGGGGTTAAGACATTTCTAACCGTTGAAGGACCAACTATAGAAATATTTTGTTCTGTAAGCTGGATATTTGTGAAGTTAGAAATTGAAATATCACTTAACACATATATGCTTGGAGAGGAAAGAAAGACATTGACTTGCTGAAGATCAGTGGCCAATATAATGTGTTGTATATTCTTTAAGATGGCAATTCAGAAAACCTCAAAAAGACCATTTTTATTTGAGTAGCTGTTTTAGTTTCTATGAAGAAACTGATTGAAAATAAGCTATTTTATATTTTAGTGAAGTGGAATGTCCAAAATAATTTATGGGCACTCCTCATATGTAACAATTGGTTTCAACTATTAAAACACAGACTCAGTGTCATGGGTATTTTGCTGGGGCTAAGAAGAAGCTAGATTGCAGACAATTCTTCCTTCAGAATCTGGCTGCCTCTGAGAAGCACTATCAACAGGTAGAAGAACTAGGCCAAGCAGCTAGGACTGCCAAGCCTCTCACTTCTGTTTTCCTGGGAAGTTTTTATTATCACTGGGGGAGGGTAACTGATATGCTGTTTATAGTAATAAGTAGTAAAATATTCAGGCTGAAGGCTGCTGATGGTAAGAGAATAATCTGTACCAGATCCACTGCCACTAAACCTGGATGGGCCCCCAGAGGCTAGCCTTGACGTGTAATAGATCAGGAGCTTTGGGGAATTCCCTAGTTTCTGCTGATACCAGTTTAATACCCTTAGAATACTCTGACTGACTCTGCAGGAGATGGTGACTGTGTCTCCTGGAGATGCAGACAGGGAGGATAGAGACAGGGTCATCTGGATGTCACAACTGGTACCTGAAATTGGAAACATAAAAGCAAATATCCACATTATTAGTCATGTTATTACAGGACTTCCCTGAAGCCACAGGCATCACTGACCACACAGGGTGGGAGAAGTATTATCCTTCCTTGCCTGGGAGGCAGAGCAACAAGGAGCCCCAGGTGATGAGTAGCAGTCCTCATGTCCATGCTGTGTGCTGACTGGGACTGACTGCTGAACAGGTGTGAACAGCTTATTATGAAGTCATTGTTGCAGTAGGATGTGATCTAGGCAAATGCAAATCAGAAGGGCTGGACAAAGATGGATATTCCTGCAAGGCTGGCTCATCTCAGGAAATCATCATAGGTCCATGGTGCCCATGTTTGTTAGTTTTAGACTAGGGAATATGATTCATTCAAATAAGACAAGTCACAATCAGTCTGCTCTCTTATGAGTAAGTCTACTGGTGCCTCAGGGATGAGGACCTGCTTTTCCTGTGTGTCCTAATCTCAATTCTCTGTAGTGACTTTGAAAGGGATAAGATAAAGGCAAAATGAATGTTTTGTATTCTGTGTATGGAGGAAGTAAAAATATGGAGAGAAAAGAGTTTCTGGACATTTTAAACTGGTTTAATATCTTTATGCATGGGAACATCTCACTGCCATAGCAAGAGAGATATAAGCTGTTTTTATGTGTCAGTCTATTCCAAAACACACATGTAAACATAAAATAAAATGTGGATTCTAACTGGGCCTTGATGGCTCACACCTGTAATCCTAGCTACTCAAGAGGCTGGGATCTGAGGATTGTGGTTCATAGCTAGTCTGGACAGGAAAATACATGAGAATCCTATCTCCAATTATCCACCAGAAAAATGGAAGTGACACTGTGGCTTAAGTAGTAATGCACTTGCCTTGAGCTGAGGAGCTCAGGGATAGGGCCTAAGCTCAGAGTTCAAGCCCCTCAACCATCCCCCCCCCCGCGAAATGTGGATTCTCCTTTAGATCAGGTATAAGGTTGAGGCAAACTTTCCCTTATTTGGCATTACTATGTAAATTATAAAAACACTTAAAGCAAGGAATGCAATGGCCTAAGTAAGCCATGTCCTGTGGTTTGATGGCAAAGGTTCAGAAACAAAAGATTGTTGCTACCAGAAAAGGCCAAAATTACTTCAGTATTTGTGATATGCCACTATCTCCACTAGATGTTTTAATCTTGGACTTAAGACCACATGTTATCAAAGTACATGCTATGTTTAATAATCTTATGATGACATATAATAATTCAAAAAAGCAAGGCAAATAAATTATCCAAAATCTGCTTCCTCATGTGGAACACTAATAATTAAGAAGCATGTAGTCTCACATGGAAGGTGGTCAGAACCAAATCAGTGAGTAAGAGAAAGGACATTGAGACAATGGCTTTATATATCATGTTGTTTCTTTCTCATTGGTCTTCCAGTGTTATGATATCTTCTCTGGGTCTTCATTATTTTATGATATCTTCTCTGGGTCTTTACTATTTTATTTTCTCACCCTTGCAAATAAATAGGATGATACCCAGACTCTTCCTTTCTGTCTGGGAATATTAGCAATCTCAAAGCTAGATCAGGTCAGAGAAGTTGTCTGAAACAGGTAGTGAGGAGAGCAAGACAGACTGAGAACTCATCCTCCTAACCAGAAAAATTGCTTTGGGCCAGAGGCCTGTGAGAGCTTTTTCTACCTGTGAAGAGAATAAATTTCTACTATCTTGAACTTCCACAGGCTGATTCTGGTGTTCCAGAGGTCTGCAGGTGAAGGGCCTGGAGAAATCACTGGCTAAATATATCAAGAGCCTGTTGTTACAAAGTTGCCAGCCCTACCCCTAATGATCTTCACTGGATACTGGTGTGTAAATCCTGCCACCTGCTGGAATGAATGGTCAAAATGAGGACAGCGTCGTTTGGTCTAAGTCAGAGCCCAAAAGAAATCTATGTATAGATGGTTTATGAAAAGACAACATTGGGATATAATAAATCATACAGGATTCTAAATATCAGCACAAAATCAGACCAAAAGAGAATACTCATAGGAGAGAAACAATTAGGCAGAATGTCTACACACTTCTTCATGTTTATATAAAATTACATGTAATTTTATACGTGCCATTCCACAAACCAGTTTATGAACACAATACCTCTTCAGTGTCATCCCTTTTAAAATTCTCACTTCGCTCACACCACACGTAGCTTCATGTTTTTTTTTAACAGTTTTTCTTTGTTTTGTTATATTTTTTGTTGGTTGGGGGGCCCTAACTCTGGGTCCCGGCCCTGTCACTCAGCTCTTCAGATCAAGCCACTTGAGCCACAGTGCCACTCCTGACTTTTTCTCCTTGAAATTGAACCCAGGGCTTCATGCATGCAAGGCAAGCACTTTCCCACTGAGCCTCCTTCCTAGCCCATGAATGTTAAATTTTAAGTTATGTTTTGAAATTGTTGCCGTTACAACTGATTCATGCATACAATGCATTTTGAGATATGTCAGCCCCCTTCAACTTGCCCTTTCCCTTGTTTTTCTCAGTTCTCTGGCATATGCACTGCATTCTGACCTGCATTCTACTCATTCCTCTATTTTTTCTTCTACCTCTTTCCTCCTGATCTCAAACACTCTTGCAAGTACATTTCCTAGCACTCAGATTTTTACACCTTGACTTGATCTCAGAAAAGCAGTTTTAATATATTTCAAATCATTTCTAACACTTTCATAATTTGCCTAAAAATGATGAAATAAAATTAGTAGAATTAATAATTTCCATACTCTTGGTGATTGTGTGTGTGTGTGTGTGTGTGTGTGTGTGTGTTTGTGCATTCTAGTGATGGTACTTGAACTCAAGACCTGGGCATGATCCCTGTGTTTTTGTGTTCAAAACTAGTGTACTACCACTTGAGCCACATCTCCACAACTAGCATTTTTGTTGATTAATTGGAGATTAAAATCTAATGGACTCTCTTTCCTGGGCTGGCTTTGAGCCATTGATCCTCAGATCTCAGTCACCTGAGGGATTAAGAATTAGGATTTCGAGAGAGAATAAATAGCCAAACAATTCTAGGCAAAAAAGGAATACTGATATAATCTCAATCCCAAGACTCAAGCTCTACTATGAGCTATACTAAAAAAATCTTTGTATTGACACAAAAATAATCCCAAAGATGAATAGACCAGACTAGAAGACCTAGAAATAAAACAATATATTTGATATGGTTTGATTTGGAGTCAAAGTATACCCTGGGAAAATGATAGCTTCTTCAATTAAAGATTTTGATTAAACTGAGCATCCATATGCAGGAAACTAAAAATCCATCCATATGTCACCATGTACAAATATCAACTCATAGAAGATCAAAGACCTCAACATTAGACCTGAAAGTTTGAAATTACTACAAGAGAGAGTAGGAGAAATATTAGAACTCATTGACATACGTAGAAAGTTTTAGGATAGAGTTTCAAAGGCATACCAGATAGGAGAGAAACTTGACAAATGGGATTGCATCAGAAATATAGCCAAAAGACTATGAGAAGATATTTTTGTTGTTGTTGTTGTTCGTGGGGCTTGAACTCTGGGCCTGGGCACTGTCCCTCAGCTCTTCAGTTCAAGGCGAGCACTCTACCACTTGAGCTACAGTGCCACTTCTGGTTTTCTGGTGGTTTACTGGAGATAGGAGTCTCACGGTCTCTCCTTCCTGGGCTGGCTTTGAACTGCGATCCTCAGATCTCCGCCTCCTGAGTAGATAGGATTACAGGCTTGAGCCACCAGCACCCAGCTTATGAGAAGATCTTCACCAACAATACATCAGACAAAGCCTAATATCCAAACTATCCCATGAACTTAAGAAACTACTCCCTCCCCAAACTAGTAAATCAGTTAATTAATGGGCAAAGAGCTAAGGATAGATGACTTAGAAGATGAGGTAAGAATGGCAAAGGAACACATAAGGAAATGCTCATCATCCCTGGCCATAGAGGAAATGAAAAATAAAACCAACTCATTGATTCCATCTCACTCCATTAAGATTGGTCAACATTGTGAATTCAAATAACAAATGTTGGTGGGAATGTGGAGGAAAGGCAATCTTATTGCACTTTTGGTGTGAATGTTAACTGACACAACAACTCTGGAACAGTCTGGAGGTTCCTCACAAAATGAAATATAGATCTTCCTTGAAACCCAGCCACACCTCTCTGCATCTGCCCTGAACCTCACAAGCCAATATACCATATAGACACTTGCACATCCATGTTCACTGCCACACTATTAAAAATAGCCAAGTTGTTAAAAGAGCCGAGATGCCCTACAATAGATGACCAGTTAAATGTGTTACCTATTCACAAAGGAATTGTACATAATCATTAGAAAAAATAAAATTATGTCATTTGCCTGGAAATGGAGGGACCTAGGAAAAATCATGTTGTGTGGTATGCCAACCTCACAGAGAAAATAGTACATGTTTTCTTTCATGTGGAGAGTCTATATGTAAAACATAGGTCTCTAGGCATGTACACAAAGTGAGACTAAAGGAAGAAAGAGGAACAGAAATACACAATACCTGTGTACTTATTTTTTACTTGAAACATATATTTTTATTGAAAATAAATTGTACAGGGGGATTACAGTTACATGAGCAAGGTAATGAGCTCATTTCCTACCCAGCAATTTTACCCCCTTATTTTTTCCCCTACCATCCCTTTCCTCCCCACCTCCCCAACTCCTCCCGACCAACTCCCCAGCAAAGTTGTAAAGTTCATTTTCAACATAGTGTCTTGTACATCTCATTGTTACAATGGGTCATCCTGTATCCTTATTTCTGACCATACAAAATAACATTTATAAAAAGAAACTCAAAAACATAAAAAGACATATTTCAATATTACTGTTTTGTTTTCTTGTCTTGTTTGTTAGTTCATATAACTTGGGAGGGTAAGGAGAGTCACAGAAATGTAGGCACAAATGGTGAACAAATGCAGCAAAGGTACTCATGGACACTATGTTGAAAATGAGCCATCTAACTTGTGGATGGTCCTTTATGGAGGAAGCTTTGGAGAAACTAGGAACTCCTTGAACCTTCCTCAATATAATAAAGGCTATGTACAACAAACCTACAGTCAGCATTATACTAAATGGTGAATAGTTAAAACTATTTCCTCTAAAGATTATGACAAAGTGGTCTGCTCTATCCACTCTCTTCATAATAAAGGATTGGGAGGATTAACAATGTGAAAATGGCAATACTGCCAAGATCTATCTAAAATACAATGCAATACCCATTAGTATCCCAACATTTTTCAATCAACAAGAAGAAGCAATCCAGATTTTCATGTGGAATAATATAAAACCCAAATAGCTAAAGCAATTTTTAGCAGGAAGAACACTGCTGGAGGAATATCAATGCTTCAAACTCTATTATAAAGCTGTACTTACAAAAACAGCTTGGTACTAGCACATGAACAAGCTTGTAGAACAATGAAATATAATTGAAGACCCAGAAAGAAACTCACAGACCCATGGCCACCTAATCTTTAGTAAGGTAGCCAAAAACAAAGATGGAAGAATGACAGTCTCTTCAACAAATGGTGCAGTCAGAATTGGCTATACATGTGTAGAAACATGAAAATTGAATTTAAATCCTTATAGATCACACTGAATCAGAATTCACTCCAAATGGATCAAAGATCTTGAGGTTCAAACCCCAGTACTACCAATTTGACAAGTGTCACAATGTATTTGTGTGAGATTCATGCCACTTCACCTATAGCAGTGGTTGGTTACAGTCCTGTTTTCTCAATGTTTCACATGTCTTCCAAGCTTCAGCTTACTTTACAAGAACTTCCTCTGATCTTTGATCATACATACTCAAATTTTTCAGCCTATGGTCTCATCTGCACATTGTCAAAATTTGTCTTAGGAAAGGGAGAATTTCATCCTGCTCTCCTCTACCTCTTACTCCTAATCCTCTTTCCCACTTTCTCCCTCCTCCTTCACTGAAGGACAATATTTTGAGGAAGATAAATTGGAAAGTTCTTTTAAAATTACATGATTGTATTATTTTTGTTAGTTGTGTGGCTTGACCACTTTGCCTGGGCACTGTCCCTATGTTCTTCAGCACTTCAGCTCACGGCAAGCACTCTACCACGTCCTGTTTTCTGGTTTATTGGAGATAAGAGTCTCCTGGACTTTGCTGCCTGGACTAGTTTGAACTGTGATCCTCAAATCAGCCTCCAGAGTAGCTTGGATTACAAACCTGAGCCACCTGCTCCCAACTCTATGATTGTATTTTTTACTGCTTTTGTTGGAAATGGGTCTTCAACTACGGGTCTGGGTGTTGTCCCTCAGCTAGAACTCTACCAGTTGAGCATCAGCTCCATTTCTATTGACTTTAATACAGTAGGTTTATCTGTAAAATTCACAATCCTAATGATATTAGAAAAAAGATAATATGAGTATATTAAAATACTTCTAAAAGTCAACATCCATTCACGACATTCAAAAGCTACTAGTGTCTAAGGAAGACATAAATAATGAAAAATACACCAAAGTGGTTTGAAATATAAGTAAAAAAATCGATAAGTATCATAATCAGTGGTGAAATATTTTAACATTTTACCCATAGCTTGTTTTAAATGTTGAATTATTTGCTATCATATTCTTACATAAAAAATTATACAGGATGGTCTCCTGCAAATTCTATATAGCAAGAGGTAAAAGAAGACATTGAATTTGAAGTGGAGAAGCCAGGTATTTTCTTTTACTGATGAAATTTGTACAAATAAATTAAAATGATTAAAATAAATCATTGGATATAATAATAACTTAGTTGAGTCTATGCAAACACAGTGAATAGAAAATATTTCTTTTAGAGTAAAGAAGACACAGCTACTCAAATGTATTTCCATAGTCATAAATTGGAGTACAGCATCATTTTACATTTTCCATAGGTTAAAACATAGAATCAAACCATGCGAAATTAAAATTCCCTAAAAGAATATTTAAAGTAGAAAATGCAAACCTAGAATTTCCTTGGCAATTTAAGACACTCAAGATAGCCCAGAAAGTATTAAGCTCAGAAATTTGCCCTTATGTTTTCCAACTTTATTTTCATTTTTGTCTTAGAGCATCGTGGTTAAGTCAGTTTGCATGCAGTAGGTGCAGACAGAAAAATAGTCAAGTTGACAGCTCACACAGGAAATACACATCTTATGGCTCATGGAATTGTAAGCCCTCTGTGCAACTCCTTAATAATAACAATAAAAATGTCAGGAGCCAAGTACTAGTGGCTGATTCCTGTAATCCTAGCTTGTCATGAAGCTAAGATCTGAGGACTGATGTTGGAAGCCAGCCTGAATAGGAGAGTCTATGAGACAATTATATCCATTTAAGCACATAAAAAATCAGAAGTAGAGCTGTGGATCAAGTGGTAGAATGCTTGCATTGAACACAAAAAGCTCCAGGAAGAAGCAAGGCCTTTCCTTGAGTTCCAGCCCAAGGACTAGAACCAAAATGAAAACAAACCAAAAAGAAAAGGAGTAAGGACCTGGTCCACCAGTATACAACCTAGTGATTTCTAACAAAAGAATGGAGTGGGGATACATCGGTGTAATTATTGTTTTGATGTGCTGTGCAGATTCTTCTAATCATTTACTTGTGGAAACCACCAGTATTTCCTGTAGAGTTTCTGCATGATGAGTCCTACTGAACATGGACAGTTAGAAAAGACTACATTAGAATTACTGAAACCTGCAGGCATATGCTAGGGCAGAGGGGAGGAATGGAGGATCACCTGTCAAGATCAATCTACAAGCAGTTGAGAGCATTGGTACTCACCCCTAGGTGTCTAGACAGGGAAAGGACCTCAGTAAGAAGGCCTCTAGTTTCACAAGCAAATGATGTGGTCTGAGGGACACCAGAGAAAACTCCAGTTCTGTGTTTAGCTTCACTCAATAACATAAGCCAGTCTTGGAATGGCTATAGGCTAATAATTTCTTCTATTAAAAAGAAACTCTACTTGCTTGAATTAACTAACATGCCTCAATTTTATGAAAGAACCCCAAATAATACTCTCAAAGTTTCCTCTCTTGTTATGATTTGTGTGCTCTATTGAATCAGGAGAGACATTGCCAAGTGTGTACTGCTGCAGACAGAGAGGTAGAGTACAGGGAATTCTGCCGAGATGATTCTACCAAAATCTTCAAGTGACCTTTAGATTCTAGATGTATCAGAGAAGCTGTGTCATCAGGTGGAGGCACCAGGAAGGGCAGGTGGGACAGCCTAGCCTCTCACCTGTACTTCCCTGGGAGCCTAATGTTATGGCTTGTATCACTGTGAGTGGGTAGCTACTATGCTGTTGACAGTAATAAGTGGAGAAATGTTCAGGTTGCAGGCTGCTTATGGTGAGAGTAAACTCTGCCCAAGATCCACTGTCCTTGAATCAAGAGGGGACAAGAATGGTAATTACTTTGCACAATACAAGAGAAACTTAGGAGCTTTCCCTGATTTCTGCTGAATCCAGTCTAAAGAAATGTTAATGCCCTCACTGGCCCTTTAAGCCATGGAAACTCTGTATACAGAGAGGATAGAGACTCTTCATTTGGATGTCACATCTGGCACCTGGCAGTGGAAACATAAAACAAATATCCTCCTTGATAATCATGTTACAAGAGGCCTTCCTTGCAGTAACCAGAGAGCCCCTACTGTACTAGGCTGAGTAAATCCCCAGCATTGTTCTTCCTTACCTGGGAGCAAGAGCAGCAGGAACCCCAGAAGCTGAGCAGGGGCCTTCATGTCCATGCTGTGTGCTGACTGGGACTGACTCCTGCACAGAGTGTGAGCAGACTATGAAGTGCTCAGTGCAGTGGGCTGTGCTATGGCCACATGAATATCAGCAGGGGCGGGCAGAGCTGGGCACCTCTGCAGGATTGGCTCAACTCAGTGAATCACCACAGGCCTTGGATACACAGGTTTCATAGGCTAGAAAAGAGGAACATGAAGTTGACTGCAGAGTTTGGGAGATGATTTGATGGTAGAAGACACTTTTATGACTATTTTCAAAATGTATAATGCACAGAAGCCACAGAGTTACTAGAGTATTTCATATATATATTGAAATATCTTGTTACTACTTAGATCTTTTATTCACTCTCATTCATTCATCCTGGAAAAAATCACTATGTTTTCATTATTAAGTACTTATGCATTGAAACTTTTCTTACTTTCTTTCCTTTCCTTTTCACCTTTCCTTCCCTTCCCTTCATTTCTTTTCCCTTCCCTTCCCTTCCTTTTTTATTTTTATGGTTGTGGAGCTTGGACTCTGGGCCTGGGCATTGTCCCTCAGCACTTCAGCTCAAGGCAAACACTCTACCATTGGAGCCACTGTGCCACTTCTGGTTTCTGGTGATTTATTAGACATAAGAGTCTCAAGGACTTTCCAGCCCGGGCTGACATTGAACCACAATCCTCAGATCTCAACCTCCTGAGTAGCTAGGTTTGCAGATTTGAGTCACTAGCACATAGAAGGAAAAGAAATCTTAACCCTATAATGTATTTTCCTTTTTTGAGTTGTAATATTGTTTTGCATCTGTTTTGCATTATCAAGAAATTATTTCAGTTGTTTGTTCCCGTGTAAGTTCATGAACAACTTGTGATGTTTCATACAATTTGCAGCTTCTGATAGTTTTCTGCAAAAGAATTAATTGATTTTGTTTTTTCTTTAAAAAAGCTCATAATCCCAGATTGGTAGAAAAAACTTACAATCAAATTTAAGCGAGTTTTAATGCTATCACTTAGGTAGACTATTTCTGAGAGTTGGGGAAAATTGATCATTGTTGACAGTCAGTTACCTCAATACATCATTATGATCATTATGATTGTATGTGGAAGCTCAAATCCGTGTTCCTTCCCTTTTTTCCTGAAGAGTTCATCATTAGGTCATCCCTTGATTATATTTTGTGAACTGGAGAGGCTTGCATAATTCTTCACATAAGCAGGCTGACATCTGATCAGAAGTGAGGCCTAGAGAATTCCCCTGGAGAGTCAGTTGGGTCTGGTAAGAGCATCAGCTGCTTACCTTGGCTTTTTCCACAGGGTGGAGAATCACTGGATTGTGTGCTCAAAACCCTAGGATAGCCTCACAGAATCCAAGAATGCCACACTCCTCATTCCAACTTCTCTGATGACCCAGGAGTTAACAACCTAATGATTAGACTCATTTCCTGTATTAAAACAATTCCTTCTTAGAGATTCTTGTCTGGCTTCTGTTTTACTGTGTGAAGCAGAAAGGATGACTTTATATGAGAGAGACATGACCATGTCTGTGCATCTGGGACAGAGGAGGAGAAAAGGGACAAAGATTCAGAGGAGCCTTCACATTTCAATGAAAAACTTTAAAAGAGTTCATAGCTGTGCTACATCTGAGAAGCTCTATCAGCAGGTGGAGGCACCAGGAGCAGAAGCTGGACTGCCCAGCCTCTCACTTCTGCTTCCCTGGGAGGTTTTTGTTATGGCTTGTATCACTGTGGGAGGTAAGCTATTACCCTGTTGACAGTAATAAGTGGCAAAATCCTCAGGCTGCAGGCTGCTGATGGTGAGAGTGAACTCTGTCCCAGATTGACTCCCACTGAACCTTGATGGAATTCCAGAGGCTAAATTGTTTGCATGATAGATCAGAAGCTTTGGAGCATTCCCTGGTTTCTGCTGATACCAGTTTAAATAATAGTTAATGCCCTGACTGGCCCGGCAAGTTATGGAGACTCTGTCTCCTGGAGATGCAGACAGGAAGGATGGAGACTGGGTCATCTGGATGTCACATGTGGCACCTGCATTGGAAACATAAACACAAATATCCACACTGTTAGTCCTGATATAGGAGGCCTTCCCTGAAGACCCAGCCAGCACTGAACACATGGGAGGGGAGTAGTGCTGTCCTTCCTTACCTGGGAGCCAGAGCAGCAGGAGCCCCAGGAGCTGAGCAGGGGTCCTCATGTCCATGCTGTGTGCTGACTGGGACTGACTGCTGGGCAGTCCTCTGTCTATTATGAAGTCACTGGGGGCAGTAGGCTGTGCTCTGAGCATATGCAAATCAGCAAAGCTGGGTAAAGCTGGGCATAGCTATAGGACCAGCTCAAGTCAGGACATCCTCATATTTCCACAGTGCATACATACCGTAGTTTAGCCCAGAGAATGTGTTTCACCCATATAGTATAAGCTGTGATGAGTCTACTGTCCTTTGAATTGATCTATTGGTACATTCAGGGATGATGACAATTTCTCTTGAGTTTTTAAATCTTTATATCATGACACTTGAAAGGGAGAAGAGTAAAATAATAATTGAGTGCTTCATATTCAGAACATGCAGAGAAGTGAAGATATGGGAAAAATAGAGTTTGTGGATATTTTTACTGGTTTAATATCTCTATTCATTGAAGCCTTATCACTGACATAGTAAAAGATATATAAGCTGTGAAGTTTTCAAGCAATTCATGCTTCAGGCTCTTCTTAAACACACATATACACAAAGTAAAATGTGATTCTTCCCAAGAGCTAGTAGAAACGCTGAGTCCAACTCTTCCTCATTTACTTTACAGCAAAAAGGAAAATTTTGCTACATAGGAAAATTTTCAAAGCAAGGGAAAACATCTATATCAAGGGTTTTAGTAAGCATGTCCTGTGGTTAGATGGCTGGAGGGCTGAAGCAAAAGCGTGTTGCTACCAAAAAACTCCAAAATGTCTTAAGTTTTTGTGATTTGCCACGTCACCAGGTACTATTTTTACTTGGATTTACAGTTTCATATTATCCAAGAACTATAGTACATACAAGTATCCATTGCCCTCTGATGATTTCACATCAAATTCAGGGAAAATCACTTTCAAACTATCTAGTCCTCATATACCTCTTTCTTGTTACATGTCCAAATTTCTGCTACTACCTAGAGAATGGAGAGGCTCATCCATACTTTTACACCCAGCTGGTCAGGATTAGGCAACTTCAAGGGTGAAGAAAAGATTGCTGTCTTAAAGATTTACTGACATTTTGTCTCATTTATCTATCACTTTCTTTCTCAATTGATCTAGGCACAGATATCTGCGTGAAATTCCTGAAGTGCTTGGGAAAGAAGACAGGACTTCTGGATGACAATGAAAGCTAATTTGTAATTATTTCAATGAGTTTGCTAAATTTGGCAATTTGGGAAAAGAGGGTTGTTAATTTAATGCTAATGACTTTCACTTATTGTAATTTGGAATCAAGTTGAAGACAGGACCAAAAACAATGCCACAATGCCTCAGTGGTTCTGTGCAGTTACTCTGGTCCTGGGCTAGAGAAAAGGGTCAGATCTGAGAGGGGTTGAGATTTATGTGACCTATGTGACCATTAAATTTATTTTTAACTGCTATTCAGCCTTACTTGCCTTACTTCTTTTGTTTGTAGGAACTTGGTTCTGTACCTGTTGTTTCTCTGAATAACATCTTAATGGCCAAATAAATTCTCAAGGGCTTTCCAGAGAAAGCCTTGAAATCCCAATGATTTTTGTAAACATCCCTGGGCTGTATAATGTACAAACAAATGATAGTTACCGCAGTCTCAGTTCTATCTGATTTCGATATAAATCGATTTATAATCTCTGGGGTTCAGGGTGGTGTCTGGCTAGTGGTCATGAAGGAAGGGGACATCTTGTACCCCTTCCCAAACCAGATTAATCCTTGATTTTAAGATTCAGTGAATATTTGCAAAAAAAATCAAACTCATTCTTCCATATTATGATGAACACAATGTCTGAAGTCAAAAGTGCATTGCCACAACAACTAAAGTAAAAACATGCTACCCTGCCTGAAAAGCAAAAGCAAATGAGGAATGACTCATGTGACACGATAATTGTGTAGAAGACAGCAAGTTTTAAGTTTCAGTCTCCATAGCACCCAAAATGAAATTTTGCATGTTGTCAATCAATTTGGCAAACAGTCAACATACTATCACTGCCACAGTCTGCACATAATTCCAGTTTCCAATTTTGCATTTTACAAAGATTTTATGCATTTAAAATTGTCTTGTTCTTTTTAAAATAAAATGATATTCAGAAGTAGTAATAGAGAGGAGGCAGCACACTACATAATTCTTCCAATGTGACTCACTCGCAGACTCACCAGCTTTCAGTGCTATAGGTTTCTTTTTTTTCCATAATAAATGGGCTATAATTTTTCCCCATTTTGGAATTGCTTATATTGTGCCATGTCAGTCATTTGTGATGATTCCATTTATCACAATGAAAGTCTGACTACTGATACCAGATCTGTTCACTTCAGCAAACATCTATTTACCATAAATGCCTATGCCTTTTCCTTGTTGCTTAGGTTTTTTGGTGTTTATTTATTTGTTCGCTTGTACTACTAAGGAGATGACCCAGGGCCCAGCTTTGCTGTAGGCATCTCTAGGTGTGAGTTTGTATCTCTTGTGCTTTTGTGGCTATGAAGAATCCAACCAGAATCTTGTTGCAGGGAGAATGTAAAGTTCTATACTATTTTTAGCTGGTATCTTGGTATTCAATATATTTGTGATCACATCTACCAGACATTTTGTGTATTACTGTCATCTTGAAGCAAAAGAGGAGCCCTCTGCCTATACACCAAAATGAACACCATATCAGGAATGAGCGCCCTCAGAATTTCCTCAGTGCAGATGAGAGGAGAGTTACATGCAAACCTCTTCCCCTCATCTTACAGAGAATATCCTGAAGGTGTATTTTCCACATTTCCATGGGACATTGAGTTTAAGTTGTCTTCAGCAACAGGAAGTGTTTAGATTGTTGTATGGTCTTTACTG